TTAAATCAAGTGAAATCGGTAAAATAACGACACCAGGAGCAAGCAACACACGTATGGAATAAGGTAAGCCATTTTTATTTAATATTTTCACTTTTAACTATCTCTATGGCTATCTTGTAGAAAATCCCATACAAATCCTTATAAATCGATATGCAAATTGTGTTCCTTGTGTGGTTCTCAAAGAGAGCTTGGGCTGCCTGTGCTTCTCTAAGCATTTAACCACGAGGACATAGTTCTCTTGCGAAACAACCTCCTAAAGAACAAGTCCCATGTTCTTAATCATCTCCTTGTAGTTAAGTCCATTACCTTATTAGGAGTGAGTCCCACGTGATATACGAGCTTCGGATCTTTTTCGAGTTCACTAAGGACTTGCTAAATAAAAAAGGAAACAAGTTCGTCATAATTTTGGCGTACGCCTCACAATGAAATTTGTAACAAAAGTTCGCAATTCGACAGAGTAGATCAATTTTAAAGTCACTTAAATGTTATTTCCGCAACATGTCCTTGCATTCCATACAACAGACTAGCAATGCAACAATAACGGTTTACAATTCATTCGCTCTGGCGAAGAGCTAACGCTCGAAAGGTCAACTTTTTAACTCTTTACGGTGGCCAATTTACAGTTTCAACTTAGTTGATAGAGCCAAATTGACGGTTTTCAATGGCTGCGTTGACACGGAGTGTGCGGCACAAAATGGCGCTGCGTTCAGACACTGGGTGCCCGATACATCAGTGCCTGGTTCAGTACCCGTGTACAAGGTCAAAACCTTGTGCTCGGGCACAGGCACGGTACCCGGATTCTGGCATGGGTACTTGGAAAAAAGATGTGTTCACATAAGCGCACATCAAGAATCGTACTCGGACACCGTGCTCGAGCACCAAGTGTGAACGCACCTGTTGTTACCCGCAAAGGGCACCTATCAGTGATGAACAAAGATGTCAATGTTTCAATGTTTCAAAATGGCCGCAGTAGTGTGGGTTTCCATTAAGCAATTAACAGTGACAGGAAAGTTTGACAAGCATTTTTCACCTGTTGTTGTTGCATCACCAGAGGAGCTTTTAAAGCTTTGTTCATCAAACGACGAACTTCGGCACCTTAAGAGATAATAGGGTTTACAAAACAAATTTGGACCATAAAATATTTATTAGATCCGTAGCTCTAGGTTATGCATTTTCAAAAAAGTTGTAGAGATCATATTCACAGCATTGAGCAGCAATTAAGACTCCAAGAATGAATTCGTATTCACAGATGCTCTCACTGGTCATGTTCGGGAGCGAACTAGTACAGCTGAGTGAAGCGTAAGTAGTCGACGCTTACTGAAATATTCTCGCTTGGGGGAAAATACCTAAAGAAGGCTAAAAAACGCTCTTTCATATGGTTTGAATCATTTCGTTAAAAGTTCTAAGTGGAGGCTTTCCGGTTGAGCGGAAAAATAGATAAATTCAAATAGACGGCAATTGTCTTTCCACATTTGGTTCGCCTCAACTCCATGCCCCCGACCCAGTTTCTCGAACAAACTTTCCTAAACATTGACTCACTAACCTGCGCTATTTGTAACACACATGGTACTGTCCCATTCAACTGTATGCACTTCTCCTGTAGGGTTCATCCATACAAGCTACAAACCAACCAATAAAAATACAATAAAACTCTCTTTCAGGAGTTTGCAGAATCTGAACATGTTGTCCTACCATAGCACCTTCTAAAGATATGCTGTAGTTCGAGTAATGGCCTAAAGCTGCTGTTAAAAGAACTAGTTGGGCGCTATTTTCAACTGAGAGCTACGTCCCAATGGGTTCATCCGTAATGAGTCCTCCCGCTCATAAGGACAAACTGGGCGTGGCCCAAACCTAATTTCAATAACCTGTATAGTTTCATTTTAAGTATTTGTGATTAAGTTCGAGTGAGGTCTAAGGTTTTCAGAGTGTGTTGATAAGGGATGCGTGCGTAAACGCACGTCTTCAGTTTGCACAATGGGAATATGAAGCACCTTCGCGGAATTACTTTAGAACAAACTGTAGCTATGTTTTGATAACTGTTGATGTCATGAGTATACTGTACCTCGTCATCACAGGAGTAAAGTGGTGGAGGAATTCTGGCAAACACTGGTCTCAGATTTAACTCAGATGGTGGATTCAGCCCTATAATAGAAAATCAAACAAGGAAAGAAGTAAAAAATGGCACAATAAACTCTGAGGACAAAATAAAATGAGTAAGCTACTCAAAATATGCTCCTATACGTACACTGTGCAGAACAATTTTCGAGCAAAGAGATGTTGCAAAAAGTTAAAACATACAAAAATAAAAAAAAAATTAATGAGAATCCAAAACTCTATTTGATAAGTCACGCTAGGGAGGACAATTTTGTAAGCACTTCGAAGCTTTGACTCAAGGGAAATAGACTGGGTCTGCTGTTTTAAGCTTCTTCAAAGCTCACACAAAATTGCCAGCTACACTAAAGCTTGACTGAAGAATTCCCAGACTGACATTTATAAGAATGACATAAAAGTAAATCCCATCTGAGAAAGAGCAAACTTAGAAACTTCACCTCTCTGTATAGCTTTGAAACAAACAGTTGGTTTCTTTAGCTCACCTGTGACTAGAGTCTCTGTGATTTGTGAAGCTGCTGTAGAATCAAACCCTGAACTGTAAACATGATCAAAAGTCCGGTTAAAGTTGGAATGGTTTGTAATTACAGGAATAGGAAAATAATCCCAAATATCACATTTAACGCCATTTTTTTACTCAGCCCAGATTTCCCCTCTCTTGTGTACAGCGTAGTCTTGAAACAGTGATTGATGCTTCCTCTCTGAGTAATAATATTATTCTTCAATAAGTGAAAAAAGGTAAACATCTCTGCTTGATTGAAAACCAAGATGGGGAAGGTCAACATTGACCATAAAATTTTTCCACTGCCTAGGCAAGCATGAATGACAAAGTTGACATTTCCTTCCAACAAAACGAAGGTTTCTTTTGGTTTACATTGGAGTCTTTATCATTCTCAAGAGGCTTTAATGACATAAAAAAAAATTAATAGCAACACACTTCAAAAATAGCTTTTCTCGCAGCTCCAACTTTACTTTAATATTTACAACAAAAACTGCATCAAGCAACCCTTGCTGATTGCCTGCTCAATATAGTGTTTGTATATCACACGTTAAGAAAGTTGAACTACAGAAGTCAATTGTAATGCCCCAAATACAAAAGATTATATGATGGGCAACCTTTAGAATTGGCTGCTTTGCAGAGACAGATTAAAAATTGATCACTAAGATATATATTTCAATAGTAACAAATATGCAGTCTTCCAATGCCACTGGATAAAATAAAACTCTAATTCCTCATTAAGCTATCCAGTAAATATGGTAATTGTGTCTGTCTCCACTCAGTTAAGGTGTCCAGTTAATACAGACTCATTTTGCGGTAAAAAAGACAAAGCATTTGGAGTAAAGCTAACAATGTCTGCTTAACATATCCGGAGATCCACACACATGTAGCACAGGTTTCACTTCATTTTAACGTAATCACCTGGCATCTGGGTCAGCATCAGCCAGTACTGCTGGCAGTCCACAGCAGCTCAAGTCAGGCAACTGAGAATTTTTCTCTGTCAGAGCCAACTGCAGAGAACTGAGATCAATATTCTGGAAGAAATGCATAACCAGTGACACAACACCATCAAAAAAATTTTCTACTCCTAGCTGAAACTTGGAACACTTACACCCCACAGCCACTTGTGCAGCAGAAAGAATTAGCAGAATAACTGTACATGTAATAGCCCAGCAACGATTACACGTATGACTGTGCACAAAAATTGGTTAACAAAGCGAGGTATTAAGCGTAGAATTGCGAGTTGAAAGATAGGCTTAGTTTTTCTGTTTCACATTTACGTAGACATAACAACTATAACTGAAGCTGTTTTCTTACTTTTTCTTGTTTTTATTCAATTAGGTGATTATGGAAAATCCATTACTTGACTTGTGTATTCCATATTAGGTTGCACTTGGAAACTGATATTGCACTCATCGCTTCGTGATACATGCCAAATCAGTTTTTGTGTGCAATTTAATGCAGAATTCCCTTACCATGTAATGAATTTTCCCATATAATTTACTAACATCATTTCTGTGGTCTGTGCTGTGAGTTACAGATCCTTGATTTTCCTGCTCAAATATTTTCTGCTCATACTGTACTCACTTAGGGCATAAATCAGAGTGGAAAAACTCAGGCCAAAAATTACATCACAAGCTTCAAACCTCAGTTGGTAGGAGGTATACAATGTAAATGTACATGAAAATGGTTTCAAAACTTCAATTGTGTTATAGGTGATAGTAAGGTAAGCTAAGGTAAGAGAAGGCCTTTATTTGAAGAGGGTAAACAGGTGACAGTTATAATAAAACTGATAAACTTGTGGCCTTGATCTTCTTGTTTTACACTTTGGATGTATACAAATTCTACTGACAATATTAGAAAAAAAATTTTCATGTTAAAAAACAAATTGAAATAGCACAGCTTAAAGTCTATAAAGAAAGTAGAGAATTTTTACAATCTGGTGTGAAGTTCTGAAATTTTTGTTTTAGGTCAATGAATGGATGAAGATAAAGACGATTTCTCTGTCTAATAGATTAAAATCAAACAGACACTTCTCAGTATTTGACTCATCTCTTGTCCCTTATGAAAAAGTACAGCATCTGACATTGCAAATCATCTCTTACCTGCCCCCCTCCAGGAAAGTCCAATACCAAAACTTGACGAGGAGTTTTCTTTAGAAGCTGAAAAAAAAAAAAAAACCCATAAAGTACTAAGCAGCTTTGCATTACCTGCCAAACACAGCAGGTGGATCAAGGATCAAGAACAATGGTATACGCAAAATCTGCAAGTGTTAACAACGACAAAATTTTCATGTCACACAAAGTTTGCTTGAAACTCACATCTCTTGATGGAGTGGTGATGAGAAGATAAAGGAAAGATTTCTCAGCTTGACTCAGTGTTGGAAGTGATTCCAGACCACTCACTCTGTTTTCATCATTTGAGCTCTAAAAATCGGCAACAAATTGAAAAAAAAAAAAAAAAACTATTGTAACATAGGTGACCCGTTTGCCACCTTAAGGTGGCTGAACACAGTTTTCATGTGTGCTTTTGCTGTTACAATTCAGCGCACGCACAAGGATTGTAAAATACAAACATGCCATTAATAGAACGGTCATTTTATTTACTCAATGCGTACCTGCACTATCTGTACTATTTTTCTCTATAGTTGGTGCAGTGTATTGAGAGCTTTAATCTTTTATTACAAAGATATGTTACAAAGATTAATGGTGCAAAGAACCCAGCAATTCTCAGGTTTTTCGTTGTTACTGAAAGAATCCAGTTAAATGCAGTGCATGCGTAGTAAGTCAAAAAATTGCAACTGAATGGAAAATTGCTTTCTCGGAAATATGCCTATTTCTTGAGAACCACTCATTAGAATTTCACGAAATTTGGCACGAAAATACTTTACAAAATAAGCAACTGGAGTATTGAAAAAAATATTGATTTTAAACAAAGGAAATCCTAGAAAATCGAGTGAACCTTCAGCAAGGGATAATTGAAGATCTCCCCAGGTGGAAATCTTATTAAGATCTTGTAAGATCTTACAAGAATCTTGTAAGATTCTTATTAAGATTAAGATCTTAATAAGACCTTGTTTAACTCTTAGGATCTTAAAAAATCTTGGTAAAAATCTTGTAAGATCTTATCCAAAGAAATCAATATTCAACATTCTAAGATCTTAAAAAATATCTTGTAAGATCTTAAGAGAATCTTACAAGATCTTGTCAGGAAAAAAATCAGTATCCAACTTGCTAAGATCTTAAAAGATCTTAATAAAAATCTTGTAAGATCTTAAAATAAATCTTACAAGATCTTGTCAAATTTAGTCAGTGTGTAGCATTTTAAGATCTTAAAAGATCTTGATAAAATCTTGTAAGATCTTAAAGAAATCTTACAAGATCTTGTCATCAAAAGTCAGTTTGCGGCATTCTATTGATACAAAAAAATTACAAGATCTCAGAAAATTATTAAGATATCAACAATCTAACATCTATTAAAAACAATGTTAAGACAATCTTACAAGATCTTGTCAAAAAAGTTAGCTTTAAATGATATTTCATGTAGGTAAATAGTAATACTAATAACAACAATCACTTTATTTGAGTCTCAAGGCTATTTATTTGAGCATGAGTGCTCTACTAATTTGGGAGACTACAAATCAACTCAAAGCAGAACAAATCAACTGAAATATTGTTTTTTTATGCGAGGGGAAAACTGGAGTATGCGAAGAAATAAAACCTCTTGATTAAAATAGCTTTTTCATACAGACCTAGTGCATTTGAACTTCAATTTTAAAATCGTCAATGCAAATCAACAACGATCGCTTTGAAACGTACAGTTCAACAAATCACGGTATATGCCGCCATTTTGTTGGGCAGGCAAAACATTGGGAGGCACAGCTACCAAGCCCCATACATTAAATGTAAAATTTTGACCCATGACTAGGGTGCAAGCTACATTTCCTTAATTTTCTTCTTGTCAGATAAATCTCTGGTCATCAAATTTTCAGAAATTTTAGGGGAAAGAGCACCATATAACCCCATACATTAATTATGCATTCAATTTCACTAATTATGTATGCAACCCATTGTTTCAAGACAATGACTTATTCCCATGGGTTTAGCATATATGCATTACTAATAAGTACTTACTGCTTCAATAAAAGAGATTGATTGAAAGCGGCTTTTCGTCTCCACTCCTTTCTCACGTTCTTCTCCCTTCTCCCCTTCGTTCCTAACTTCTCCTCGGTTTTTTTTTTTCTTTTCTTTCCTTTTTACCTTCTTGGCAGTTCTGCTGAGCCTTGAACCATCGCTCCTCAGACAATGCATTATTATCAGACAATTATCAAACCATAGCCTTACCACTATGCTACGCAAACCAGTTTGGAGTTCCTCTCCAAAAGCTACTTTTTCTTTTACCTTTCAGTAAAAAATTTTTCATAACAATGTATGCATTGATATAATGCACCAAAGGTCCCCTTTGCACTAAAGAATGCATTTCTTCTTCTCTATGATTGGCCAAATACCACATAGAAAACAAAATTTATTCATACCTCTTTCTAATAACATCAACGAAAGAAGAAGATAGAAGGAAGAAGAACAACAACTCGGAGATGGAGAGACTGAATTTTATTCAACTTTCTTGAATATTATCGGATCACGATCGGTGCATACAGTGGTGTAAGGATCACAACCTGCTTGCAACGTCGGTAAAATGTCCTCGAGCTGGGTGCAGCAATGAACTTAGCTGGATGCGACGTGCTTCATAGCGAGACGGGTATGAGTGGCGATGTTCAAAAAAGGGTTGCGATGGAATGGCTTCAATGTGCCGGAATTCACCGGTGCGCACACACAGGGTATTGAAAATACATGGTGGGGAATCAAGCAAGGTTTGCCCCAAACAGGAACATCCAAAAGGACTTTTCGATGGCTACCTACAAGAATATGTGGCGTCAGCACTACGGAAACCATCCCTTTGGAAACAATATCGAACATATCGCCCAACTTTGTGAAGTCCAGAAAGACTAGATACAAAGGTTTCTTTGCATCACTGTATGCACCCGCCTTCACGAACAATTTTCATCACTAGGACACGAAAGGATAATGAAAGAATCAACCAAAACCACAAGAACAGGTAAGACACAACAATTATTTAAACTTTGCATTGACAAAATTCAAAGCCTGACCGTAGACTTAACATTATTTTCCGGCCAATTTTACGCTTTCAAAGCGAAACTGAACATTCAGTTATATTTCAAAATTAAAAACCTCTGGAAAATTACTTGAGTTTTCCGTTTTGCAAAGCCAAAATGCGCCAAATTTACCCTGTTTCAAAAAAGACTTAGAAAAAAATCCAAATTTTAAAAACAAAGACTACTAGTCTCTGCGGAGTTCTATTGTTATCGCTATTGTTTTAATTGAACAAAGACTGAATGCATAATTAATGTATGGGGTTATATGGCACTCTTGCCAATTTAGGTAAGTATATAGCCGAAGTACGTACAAATTTCAGCTGCCTGAGATCGATCTTTCTTGTGATTTTTTTACTTTTTATGGAGGTGACATATGCAAATCAACCACACATGCAGGAGTCAAACATCAAAGAGAAAATGTTCAAGCATGTTTTCTACATTTTTGCTCGTCATATTCCATTTTTTGATTATGTGTTACTTAAAATTTTTTTAATCTTAGGCGCGTTTATGTCGACTGCCAAGCCAAAAACAGCTCGCTGTTGCGTTGGTGGTTGTAACGACGATAGATATCCGACAAAATGATGTTCGATCCGTTTCTTTAAATTTACCACAGCCAAGAATAAACACCAGAAATGGATAGATGCTATAGTCCCACGATTAAGCCGTATGATTTTTCACCTGGAAATGGGTGTTTTGTCTGTGCGAACCACTTTGTAGATGGACAGCCTACTAGAGAATATCCCAACCCTACACTTTTTTTGTCTGTACTGAAAAACAAGTTCGACAAGACTCCTCAAAAAAGAAGATTATTGGATAAAGAGGCAAGCACATCCGCATCTAATGATTCTTTAGGGGACAATGTTGAAATGGATTTTGGCATTGAGCCTCTACCAGAGGTTCCTGAAGATAAAGAGACTGAGTTAGAGGTTGTTGAACCAGAGGATGTACATAATGAGCCCTCGCCACAAGTTCCACTTTTTTACCAGTAGTTTGAAGACCTCTGACGTTAAGATAATCTTTTAATGTACCAACAGACAAGTCAAGGAAATCATCATGTCTCTATTCTATTGTTTATTTGTTTTCTCTTTTATTCAAACTAGAATTCTGTCATTGATTTTTTTTAGCCCAAGTATGAAATTCAAGGTGCTAGTAATGTGAGTGATGTCGGTGAGACCTGGAGTTGGAAGCTCCCCCACAGCATCCTTGGTAGGTGTCATGCACTGCAATGGTTGTTTTAATAATGGTATGAGGGCTCAATTTTAGCAATAGCTCGAGAGGCAGTCACCTGAGTTCAGCTTTACATCTACAATAATTAGAGACCTTAAGATCAACATCAACAAAAATATCACCTCAAAATATAACTCTGCACTATTGTAAGTCTTTCATGGTTATTCCATCTTATTCATGTTGTCTAATGTGGACGAAGTATTGTAAAAATGAATTAGTGCCAGCAGTTTCACAGTAAGAATAGATAATAAAAGATAGGCATTTTTATGGGAGCGTTGCCCTTAAAACCTCAAATTTGGTGATTTCATGTCGTTTTTATGCACAGTACCAAAAATATATGAGCTGCACATACAGCAAGGTTATTTTCAACTTTTAACCAATCATACTACTGTTTGGAGGCATTTTCTTCACCATCACCATTGAAGATCTTAAGGTCCCTATTGAAACTTCTTGGAAATGAGATAGTCACTAATGACACATATTTTTTTCTTTTAGATGCACAATGAGGTTAAACTTCTTGCCATTCCCTCTGGTGGGGACCTGAAGAAATATGCATTTAAGGTGTTTTCGCAGCTTTTTACAACAGAAGAAATGGCTGCTGGAATTCTTGAGCCAGCAAGAGAAAAAGCAACGGKGAAGGAAGTGCTGGACCCCCACAGGACAAGTCTTTGAAGAAGTAATGAATTTCTTTTTAGTTTCACAACATTGTGTAATCACCTAAGAAAATATATTCTCTTAGCTTGTGTTTAGGATCATTGAAGAGGAGTTCCCTTTACAGAATTTCACATTATTTAAAAAGATAATAACTATTATTAAAAACTGGATGAGTGGATAATGCAATTCAAGACTTTTTATTGGCTTAGCCATTATGGTAAATGAGCCAATATACCATAATCTAATAACTGTACATTGTAACATCCGGTTTCTTCCTACAAAATAAAGTCGAGAGTATTTGTCTAATATCTTGGTGGCATTTTTTTTTAAATAAAACAATTATTCCACTCGTGCTTGTTGGATATGAGATGATTATAGCCAACTCGGCGCTATGCGCCTTGTTGGCTATCTATCATCTCATATCCAACACACACTTGTGGAATAATTGTTAAAGGTTGCTTTTCATATATTTTAACACCTGGCGTGTTACAACAGGGTCATTCATTGTATCTTCATTTTAACACTTGAAATTCACTGTACCTTGATAGGACTTCATTTTTAAATTTTTCAGCATTCAGTTCCTTCCTGAGTTGGGCCTGTGAATTGGAAAAATTTAGTATGGAGAAGTGCTAAATGAAAAAACTGTTTTCTGCTTGTAAAACCCTGAAGAATTCCTCTGAGGGAATGAAACAAATCTATCTGTTATATCTTTGAGTCCACTGAAGTGAACTTTTGATGATCAGCACTATTCAGCTTACCTTGGATTTTGCTGCAAGAGGACAAAGAACTGGGTGTTGTGTCAGGGCTGTGGCAGATGGTCGGTCTTTAGCCAAAGGGTTAATCATTAGCTGTAACAAAGAGTAAATTTGTAAGGATTTCTCCATTCTATCTGTTCATTAAGATCACAAACATTTTCACAGTCATCATTGACCTTCAATCAACCTTAAAATATTTATTGATTCAGGTTGACCTAATACTGGTAACTTTAAAGAGGTGAATATTACGATATGTGTATAAATCAATGGCAGAACAAAATAACTGTAACTAAGGATTTGGATCAAGTTCTAATCCATAATTTTGGGCTTGTGGGTTTACCGGAATAACAACCTTAGCTGGTACAAACCTTTAATAGTGAGTTCATTTCTTTTGAGATATGCTTCAGATTTTCTAGTTGGCCTCTCCTAGGGAAGAACAGAACAAAAAAATTACATTTTCTGTTTGTTAAAATGGAGTACTTCTGTAACGTATAATTTAAAAGGCAGTGCATAAATCTACTTGTAGATATGGTCCCTACACTTTCAAGCAGGAGGTTTATTTTAAAACAAGACTTGTTGTAGTGTATTAATTTTTACCCTCAAAAAGTGGATATTCTTAAGCAACAGTTGAAACATTCAGTGCCTTATCGTCTGACAACTACTGGGTGGTTAGCTGCATACCTGATTTCATGCCATTCTTCACCATTCTTTGGAAGTTCTGGCCCTCCACCCTGATGAGAAAATTCATGCATTATATTAACTTTCTATTTTGTTTGGGTGTTAAGGCCTGGCTAAACTAGGAAACTTTGTTGCGGAAACATTGTTGTGGAGGTAAATGTTTCCCAGTTTAGCTGTGCAGGAAACATGTTGTGGAAACAAATTTTGCTGCTCAGAAACAAAAATTGTTTTTGCCTGCAGACAAAACATTTTTGTTTCCCGGACACAAATTTTGCATCTGAAACATACATTTCCCAGTTTAGCCAAGATGAAAACAATGGCCTGATTTATACTGGAGATGGATCATCTGTCGAGAAGGATCATCCGTCTAGTATAAATGCGTGAAGGACTATGAGACCAACTACCAATGTATCATGTGACTCGTCCCGTGTTTTATACTGGATGAGTTTTCTGAACGGATTTCCAAAAAAGCACAACGAAAAGGTATAGTTTTTGCGGATAGTCCATCTTCTTTCTGAATTTATACACAGCGACGGATCATCCATCTTGACGAGTTATCCATGATAATTCGTCTGACAAGATGGACTATTGCGATAGCTCGTCTGGATGGATGATCCAACTGATTGCCCGTGTTTATACACAGACGAATTATCAGATGAGCTACCGTTCCTTGCCCGAGCTCGTCCTAGACGGATGATCCGTCTCCAGTCTAAACCGGGCCAATGTTGATTAGTTTCCAGTGCTGCTCGCACATTGAAAAATATTTCATACCAGCGGCGAGCAGACAACAATTAAAATGGCTGACTGCGAAGAAATTCAAGCAGGTCATGCTCAAAGAAAGGGAAAGGGAAGGGAAGGGAAAGGAATTGGAAAGATGAAGAAATTGAAATGCTAATTACTCTGTATGAGGAAAGGCCTTGTCTCTGGGACGTGNAACAACAAACATATGAAACATATGAGTGAACTGCGGTTATGAGACGTATATAAGAACGATCCTTCGCAGTAAAGCACTATTTGAGCAATAGTGGAAATCAGACCTGAAAAAAATTTCAGGCCTGTACGGGATTCGAACCACTGACCTCTGCGATACTAGTGCAGCGCTCTACCAATTGAGCTAACAAGCCAACTGGGAGCAGGCCATCAAATTAATTCGATATAAACCCGTAGATGATAAATCGAACAACAACAAACATATGAAACATATGAGTGAACTGCGGTTATGAGACGTATATAAGAACGATCCTTCGCAGTAAAGCACTATTTGAGCAATAGTGGAAATCAGACCTGAAAAAAATTTCAGGCCTGTACGGGATTCGAACCACTGACCTCTGCGATACTAGTGCAGCGCTCTACCAATTGAGCTAACAAGCCAACTGGGAGCAGGCCATCAAATTAATTCGATATAAACCCGTAGATGATAAATCGAACAACAACAAACATATGAAACATATGAGTGAACTGCGGTTATGAGACGTATATAAGAACGATCCTTCGCAGTAAAGCACTATTTGAGCAATAGTGGAAATCAGACCTGAAAAAAATTTCAGGCCTGTACGGGATTCGAACCACTGACCTCTGCGATACTAGTGCAGCGCTCTACCAATTGAGCTAACAAGCCAACTGGGAGCAGGCCATCAAATTAATTCGATATAAACCCGTAGATGATAAATCGAACAACAACAAACATATGAAACATATGAGTGAACTGCGGTTATGAGACGTATATAAGAACGATCCTTCGCAGTAAAGCACTATTTGAGCAATAGTGGAAATCAGACCTGAAAAAAATTTCAGGCCTGTACGGGATTCGAACCACTGACCTCTGCGATACTAGTGCAGCGCTCTACCAATTGAGCTAACAAGCCAACTGGGAGCAGGCCATCAAATTAATTCGATATAAACCCGTAGATGATAAATCGAACAACAACAAACATATGAAACATATGAGTGAACTGCGGTTATGAGACGTATATAAGAACGATCCTTCGCAGTAAAGCACTATTTGAGCAATAGTGGAAATCAGACCTGAAAAAAATTTCAGGCCTGTACGGGATTCGAACCACTGACCTCTGCGATACTAGTGCAGCGCTCTACCAATTGAGCTAACAAGCCAACTGGGAGCAGGCCATCAAATTAATTCGATATAAACCCGTAGATGATAAATCGAACAACAACAAACATATGAAACATATGAGTGAACTGCGGTTATGAGACGTATATAAGAACGATCCTTCGCAGTAAAGCACTATTTGAGCAATAGTGGAAATCAGACCTGAAAAAAATTTCAGGCCTGTACGGGATTCGAACCACTGACCTCTGCGATACTAGTGCAGCGCTCTACCAATTGAGCTAACAAGCCAACTGGGAGCAGGCCATCAAATTAATTCGATATAAACCCGTAGATGATAAATCGAACAACAACAAACATATGAAACATATGAGTGAACTGCGGTTATGAGACGTATATAAGAACGATCCTTCGCAGTAAAGCACTATTTGAGCAATAGTGGAAATCAGACCTGAAAAAAATTTCAGGCCTGTACGGGATTCGAACCACTGACCTCTGCGATACTAGTGCAGCGCTCTACCAATTGAGCTAACAAGCCAACTGGGAGCAGGCCATCAAATTAATTCGATATAAACCCGTAGATGATAAATCGAACAACAACAAACATATGAAACATATGAGTGAACTGCGGTTATGAGACGTATATAAGAACGATCCTTCGCAGTAAAGCACTATTTGAGCAATAGTGGAAATCAGACCTGAAAAAAATTTCAGGCCTGTACGGGATTCGAACCACTGACCTCTGCGATACTAGTGCAGCGCTCTACCAATTGAGCTAACAAGCCAACTGGGAGCAGGCCATCAAATTAATTCGATATAAACCCGTAGATGATAAATCGAACAACAACAAACATATGAAACATATGAGTGAACTGCGGTTATGAGACGTATATAAGAACGATCCTTCGCAGTAAAGCACTATTTGAGCAATAGTGGAAATCAGACCTGAAAAAAATTTCAGGCCTGTACGGGATTCGAACCACTGACCTCTGCGATACTAGTGCAGCGCTCTACCAATTGAGCTAACAAGCCAACTGGGAGCAGGCCATCAAATTAATTCGATATAAACCCGTAGATGATAAATCGAACAACAACAAACATATGAAACATATGAGTGAACTGCGGTTATGAGACGTATATAAGAACGATCCTTCGCAGTAAAGCACTATTTGAGCAATAGTGGAAATCAGACCTGAAAAAAATTTCAGGCCTGTACGGGATTCGAACCACTGACCTCTGCGATACTAGTGCAGCGCTCTACCAATTGAGCTAACAAGCCAACTGGGAGCAGGCCATCAAATTAATTCGATATAAACCCGTAGATGATAAATCGAACAACAACAAACATATGAAACATATGAGTGAACTGCGGTTATGAGACGTATATAAGAACGATCCTTCGCAGTAAAGCACTATTTGAGCAATAGTGGAAATCAGACCTGAAAAAAATTTCAGGCCTGTACGGGATTCGAACCACTGACCTCTGCGATACTAGTGCAGCGCTCTACCAATTGAGCTAACAAGCCAACTGGGAGCAGGCCATCAAATTAATTCGATATAAACCCGTAGATGATAAATCGAACAACAACAAACATATGAAACATATGAGTGAACTGCGGTTATGAGACGTCTCATAACCGCAGTTCACTCATATGTTTCATATGTTTGTTGTTGTTCGATTTATCATCTACGGGTTTATATCGAATTAATTTGATGGCCTGCTCCCAGTTGGCTTGTTAGCTCAATTGGTAGAGCGCTGCACTAGTATCGCAGAGGTCAGTGGTTCGAATCCCGTACAGGCCTGAAATTTTTTTCAGGTCTGATTTCCACTATTGCTCAAATAGTGCTTTACTGCGAAGGATCGTTCTTATATACGTCTCATAACCGCAGTTCACTCATATGTTTCATATGTTTGTTGTTGTTCGATTTATCATCTACGGGTTTATATCGAATTAATTTGATGGCCTGCTCCCAGTTGGCTTGTTAGCTCAATTGGTAGAGCGCTGCACTAGTATCGCAGAGGTCAGTGGTTCGAATCCCGTACAGGCCTGAAATTTTTTTCAGGTCTGATTTCCACTATTGCTCAAATAGTGCTTTACTGCGAAGGATCGTTCTTATATACGTCTCATAACCGCAGTTCACTCATATGTTTCATATGTTTGTTGTTGTTCGATTTATCATCTACGGGTTTATATCGAATTAATTTGATGGCCTGCTCCCAGTTGGCTTGTTAGCTCAATTGGTAGAGCGCTGCACTAGTATCGCAGAGGTCAGTGGTTCGAATCCCGTACAGGCCTGAAATTTTTTTCAGGTCTGATTTCCACTATTGCTCAAATAGTGCTTTACTGCGAAGGATCGTTCTTATATACGTCTCATAACCGCAGTTCACTCATATGTTTCATATGTTTGTTGTTGTTCGATTTATCATCTACGGGTTTATATCGAATTAATTTGATGGCCTGCTCCCAGTTGGCTTGTTAGCTCAATTGGTAGAGCGCTGCACTAGTATCGCAGAGGTCAGTGGTTCGAATCCCGTACAGGCCTGAAATTTTTTTCAGGTCTGATTTCCACTATTGCTCAAATAGTGCTTTACTGCGAAGGATCGTTCTTATATACGTCTCATAACCGCAGTTCACTCATATGTTTCATATGTTTGTTGTTGTTCGATTTATCATCTACGGGTTTATATCGAATTAATTTGATGGCCTGCTCCCAGTTGGCTTGTTAGCTCAATTGGTAGAGCGCTGCACTAGTATCGCAGAGGTCAGTGGTTCGAATCCCATACAGGCCTGAAATTTCTTTCAGGTCTGATTTCCACTATTGCTCAAATAGTGCTTTACTGCGAAGGATCGTTCTAATATAAGTATGCATATTCTTCGTACTGTTATCTACAGTGTACATTTCCTAAGGTGAGGACAACAACATGATTGGTTATCACCAGCCACATTGAGCACTGATGGCACAGTGTACATGTCATTACTTGTAACTGGACAGAGTACAGGACAATTAAAGGGACCGTTAACACAATGCATACATTAATGGACTGTACACATGTGCATGCTGTTGTCGCACACTTCACTGTTTTAACTGTTCTTTTTTTTTTTCAAGAAAACAAACAACCAATGTTTAGTTTCTTTCTCAAATTTTGTCACAGTTTTGATTAATTGGTAAGAGGACTTCATGTCATCTAACTCTGCCTGTAAACATATGAGTGATAAACAAATCTGACTCCTGCTTCACAGTCGTCTGATTTTGTTAATCACTTGTATGATTACAGATCTAATTTGACTCCACTGGGTCCTGTTACCATGACTATTAATGAAAATCACCAGACACATGGTATGCTTACCAAAACGTGAACAAACACAGATGCAAAAGGGTTATTTGCTATGGGCTCTGCTCTGTACATTTCATACAACAAAAACAGGACCACAATTCTTTGGCTGGTTGATGGCAATAGGTCAGGTTGTTGTAAAAGCATAAGCTGTAAACAATTGGACCACAAAAAAAAGTTATAATTATGCTACATGTGTTATCTAAATTTTGTCATATTCTGCTATCATATCTCATCAAGGATTTTGTGGCTCAAGATAATCAAAGCCAACCAGATGGACCCCAGAAAAGAATTGTTGCCCAAGTGGTTACTGTGATAGTCTGCAGTGCTTTCAGTAAGACCCAGCACCCACCGGAGTTCCAGTGGGTATTCTGTTGTGAGTCGCCAGGTATATTTACCTACGCTCAAGTCACAGTCACCATGCTCAAGTTGCACTCAAGTTGCTCTCCAGCAGGTGCTGTACTCAGATAGCCACCTATTTCAAATCTTATTGAAAGCACTGGACTGTGGAGTTGGCAAAGGCATAGTGTTGGGTTCACAGTCACTCTTACCCAGGGCCCAGTTGTTCAAAGGGTGGGTAATGCTCTTTAACAGTTAAATTACTTTAATTTAAGTATATAAGTGTTGACAAAACTTACTATGCTATCCACCTGATAATGATCTTTAGTATAATTTCAGAGCTGAGAAAAGAGTTTCCAGCAATCTGATTGGTTGAGCGGTTCCTTATATGACGCTATATAAGCCGCTCCACGCGGTTTACATAAATGTTAAATAAAATGGTAATAAATGTTACTAAAATGTTGTTATTTTAGAAATTCCTCCCTTGTTCAGCTCTGAAATTATACTAAAACAATTAATCGCCACAGGTTCGGTGAATTTTGTCAAATAATTCCCTTGACTTTGTCTCGAGGATTATTCGACAATATTTACCTCCCCTTTGGCAAATAATTGTTAAATATCATGGATAGCATTGTCCACCCTTCAAATGACCACAGCCTGCAGTACAACTGGGCAGTGGAAAATGCCATGCAGTTTTATTCCATAATTGACCTCTTAAAGTACAAAAACTAGCTAAAAAAATACTTCTACCATTGATTTTGGGAGATAAATGTGTACAAAATATACTTGAAAGCTTCTTCTTAGTTTTATTTGAATGGTTCTGCTTAACCCATTGACACCTACATGTAACACGTGCCTACGAAAATTCAAAATTTTGGAGAAACCAAGAAAGCAAACACAGTGTGCAGTAAAATTTTTAAAAATCATCTTTTCCAAAAGACAGGCTCCAGTGAAAAAAGACTATTAAAGAACTTATTTCCAATGAAAAAAGCGATAGGTGCATATTAAGTTTTTATTTAAAAATCAAATGCAAGATAGAAATCGCTAAGCCACCAAGAAATATTTCAGGATGACAGATTTATTCAAAACAGTTTTTGATTTGCTGTTATAAGCGAAAAACATACAAATTTCTTACATGTACAAAGGCCATGCGGTAAAAGTCATCATGCTTAGATCGTTGTTTACTTGCCTTCATGGCCAGAAAATTGCACAGCATTATTTTGAAAATTCTGAAAAAACTTCGATTTGGCGCAAAATCTTCTATTAAACAATACCTCTTGAACACATTATTACTCAAATATATAATATTTACCGGGCCATTGAATCGTCAAATTGTCGCTAGGCTCTGCTTGAAGTCTGAAAGTTCAGTTTTTACTTTATGTCCATAATTTGCATTGCCTTAGAGAATCAAAGTGTCGTTGACTCGAGAGCTTATTCTGTCACCTTCAAGACCTTGATATCCATTATTTTCCAAGCAGAATTCTATAGCATTGCTACTTTACATTCTGAGTTCCACTAGGTCCAACTTGATCGCAAATGAATGAAAAATCCGACCTGAAACTTTTGAGGGTCGGCTGTGCTGATGCCATATTTTCAAATTTGATCATTTAGTAATCAACGGATTGCCACCCCCTGAAAGACATTAGTCCTGTCCAAAAGACATATGTACACAATCTTAGGAAAAAAGGCTGCGCACGCCCGAAAATTAATACACAGCGCTTTATGAACACCTTTGTAAATAGGTTGATATTTAAGCTCCATTTATTGTAATTACATACTTTTTAATTCATAATATGTATGTAGATTTCTGTAGTTTTTCCAAATTCATTGTAACATAAGATATGTAGTTTTATCTTATGATGGAATAAAGACTTTATTATCATTATTATTATTATTATTATTAGTAAGGATGCATAGAATAATGCCCCTCTTGTACCCCCTAAACCCATCAAAATATATGTGCAAATGATGGATTCTGATTGGTTTATTGATCCCCAAACCATAGAGGAAGTTTGGGAACAAAACTCTGCTTAGTAGGGGAGGTAGGGAAGAAAGCGTTCCAGCGCAAACCAATCACACGGTTCAGGTGTCAATGTGTTAAATTTGCTGTTCAAGACACGTGACAGACAATAAAAACAGGCAGTTGGGACTCTACTTGTAAAGGGTGACCACAACTACTTAATAGAGGTGACCACTTCATAGAGGTAAAATTTACAGTGATTAAAGGGAAAGAATTTCAGAACTTTGACAACTGACCCCTCGACACTGGGTAAACATTTAATACAGGTCCAACTGTATTATTTAAAGCATGCATCACATGTGTTTTTTCATAAAATTTGTTTATAACACAAGGTCAGGATTTACCCTTCACATGTAGATTTCAGCTTCAATTCAAGGAGCACCGAAAAACTCTACAATTGAACATGACCATCATTTATCACATGTACATATGAGAATTTAAAAGGTGTAAGTTTTTCAGTACTACACATACCATTGCGCTACCAATTTGGAAATGTTCATTTTTGTTAAATCTCTGGTGTAAAGAGGAAGCTATCGTTTCAAAGGACGCCACAGCAAGAGAATCTTCAGCTAGGATACTATGAGATAAACAAAGCAATACCGAACATGAAAAACAGTTTAAAGTTTTGTATTATCCCAGTGTCATGGAATAAATAAAATATCACCTACCTCAGGAGTGAGGATAATTCTTTTGGAGTAAGTGTCATGTTGAAATTAACTCCAAAACATCCAAGGAGACGAGAAAAGCTCAGAAATTGTCCAACACCAATCCACGCCAATGGCTACCAGTCGGCCATTTTTGGTCTTCACTAGTGCTATACTCCCTCGGTGAAATGCCCAAACATGGGCGCGCGGTCGCTAGGTTCTGTGCAGACGGCGCGGGAAACTGGGAATGAGGATACCCAATTCCTCCCGGGCCGGGAGCTTCTCCGCGAAGAGTATGGCGACAAAGCAACCAGCTGGTTAAAATAGAAATTTACACAGACAGCGATGTACTTGGAGAGAAGCTATGAAGCCTTACAGTATGCAAATTTCTATGGATCGATAGATTCACTGTTACCTAATCACTCCAAGCAATCATCAGCATGTGATGGCGTTGCCAAGTAACAGGGTTACAAGAGATACGTAACGAATCTGCTATCTTCATTTGAAAGCGTAGTTGAAAGCCAGTCTTTTTTTGCTTCAAAAACTTTTTAAGTAATCTATCTCTTGATCACGACTGAACTTTTATGGCCCAACAAAAGGAGACCCCTGATTTAATATAATTTGGTTATATCAACTAAGTTGAAATTTTAAATTGGCCACTGTATAATTAAAAAGCTGACGTTTCAAACGTTAGCCCTTCGCAATTCACTCTGACGAAGGGCTGACACTCCAGAAATGTCGGCTTTTTAACCCTGTACGGTGGTCAATTCACAATTTCAGCTTAGTTGATACAATCAAATTACTTTATAATAATAATAATAATAAAAAAAATAAACAATAATAATAATAATAATTAATAATAATGACATGATGCGCGACCTGGTGGGAGGCAGAAGCACAGACGTACTGCGATAGATGCAGAGGGCAGTGCTCTCGGGCACGCTGAATATTTCCCGGACTTTCAAGGTGGCAGTTTGAATTCCTGTTAGAAGGAGGACCGTAGACACAACGGAAAAGCTTTTTAGGATTAGTTAATGTACATTTGATTTCTCTGCGACATAATACTCTTAAATTCTTTATTCCATCATAAGATAAAACTACATATCTTATGTTACAAAGAATTCGGAAAAACTACAACAGATATTTTTTGGCTGTTTCTGCGGAGAAACAATGAGTTTATTAGTTTTATGGAGACCCTATTTTTAAAAGTGCAGAATATTATTGATCTCCCAAACTTGTTACGGTTTTGCTGGAGATACATAGGTCATGATCACTTACTTTCGACCACAGCTCTGGGGAATCCACCATGGCGACAGAGTTCTTGTACAATTAACTGTGTCACCTTCTTGTTGTGAGGATTACTGACCCTGAAGTGACAGGGATAATATTACATTTTGTGAGGTGTAGTTAACCTGGGTTGCAAGTAATCTTGGTCAAATAAGAATGTGAATAGCATTCCCCTTGGGGAGACGATTTAAGGAATCTAGTCTTCCAACCTCTCCCCCTTTTACTTTTGTCCAATTTCTAGAGGCGCTTGCAATTGCTGAAGCCGTATACGGGTTACAAGTAAATTACTGAATGATCTTGAAACTACCTTGAGATAAAATTCTTTTGTACGTGGACACTGTAAACGATGTAATGATCAGACTGATATCATGTTTCCAGTTTATCAGCAAATACTTAATTCTGATCGGGCAATCTAGTTTAGATGCCGTAAGGATGGTTAGAAAGCAACAATATTGGAATTCCTCTTTGCTGGTTATCTAATAACAATTGCAAGTTAATAACCAATGGCTGATTTTGCATTAGAAAAGCTGAGCCAAATAGCGTTAAATTGACCGAGGACGCCAATGCGAGAGTCGAAGGCAATGTCTCACCAGAGGTTAGCCCTATCGAGGCTGTTTCCAAAATAATCATCTAGTTAAACATCAAATATAAGAACATTAAGTTGCGATTCAAATATATACAATACTTACTATAAAAACTATTGACAATATTACTTAAAAAGGTAATTCTTGAATTTGGTCTTAAATGTTCGCAGAGATTCTGCTTCAGCTACGTCTTTAGGTAATTTATTCCACAGGTTTACGATTCTGACAAAGAATGAATACTTGTAACAATTTAATCTGGCTGATTTGACTTTCAGTTTGTAACAATGATTAGAGCGGAGAGGACGAAAGGCACTAGCATAAATAAAAAAAGATGGATTTAGACCATTTAAACTATGAACTGTCTTAAAACATTCCACCAGTGATAGATACTCTCTTCGCTTCTCTAGGGTAGGCCAACGTAGAATATCCCGGCTTTCCTGATAAGACAGGTCTTTGCCGTTTTCGCCAAGGGTATACATGGATGCGCGTCTTTGAACTCTCTCCAGAGCATAAATATCCTTTTTCAAGAGCGGACTCCAAACTGGTGCACAATATTCAAGAATAGAACGAACGATAGATTTGTATAGCATGGGGAAGGTCTTTGAGTTCTTAGTACCAACATTTCTCTAGAAATCCTAGGACAGCATTTACTTTCTTTGAACATTTTTCAACCTGTAGTGACCGTGAAAGGTTAGATGTAAAATGTACACCAAGGTCCTTTGTATCGCTCACTACCCTTGAAGGCTGATTTAGCAAGTTGTATTGTGGAATTGACTTGTCTTTGGAGTGGGATATCCTCATTACCTCACACTTGACAATGAAAAACTGCGATAAAATATTATAAAGCATGACACGACGTTTCGACGTTTCCAGAACGTCATTATCAAGTAAACTAAAATAATAAAATCGAGTATATATATAATGAAGCGGTGAATAAATTACAAAACGTTAAAAGTTAAACAAAGAGTTTAGCCCTAATGGAATCGCTCTGGGTGTTTAAATTGGGCCTTATTGTTCTTATGTACAACATTTCATAAACAAGACAATCCCATTTCGTGCCGCATTTTTTAAGCATTCTAAACTGGCTCTCATTGAGTAAGTCAATGTTCCCATGGGCATCTCTCAGGTGGCGACCAATGGCAGAGTATCGATGATCAGCAATGCGTTGAAACAGATGGCGCGTCGTATATCCGACGTAATTTGAATCACACAAATCACATTTAAAACAGTAAACAACACTATGCTGATTTAAGATGCGTGGCTTGATTTCTTTAAGCTTTAGGTCCTGCTCAAGTTTCTTACTGGTGTAGACTGGTTGTACATCAATGCCAATTTTTGAACTGAGATCGCGCATTTGTCTTTTGGCAATGTTCACTGAGATTTGATCTTTGAAAGGAATACTGACTCTTAAAGTTTCAACAGATTTTGTCTTAGTATCTGGTGTAGAGGAATAATCACATTTGTCGATAATAAAGTTCACCAAAGAACTAGGGTAACCAAGGCGATGAAACATAGATTTTAGATGCCTACACTCATCGACGAATGCTTGATGCGTAGAGGACAATTCCTTTGCACGATGAACCATTGTTTTGATAAGACACTTCTTGTAGCGCAAATCGGTGTGACTTTGAAAGTGAAGTAAAAGGCCCGTGTTCGTAGGTTTACGATAGACCTGAGTCTCCAGCTTGTTGCCGTTCTTTGTTATCAACGTTCCAATAAAAGGAATTGAATCGTTGTTGGAAAGTTCCATAGTGAAATGAATACTAGGGTGGAGTCCATTGAGTACATTGAGGAAACTTACAGCTACATCGAGTCCAGGCATTATTGCAAGCGTATCGTCGACATAACGCTTGTAATAAGAAGGAAT